AAAATCATTTAAGGTTTCAACATGAAACTCTTTGTAAATAGCCTGAAGGAACTGTGAGTAATGTTCTGGAACGGGGGCCAAAACATTATTCTTTCTGTGCCATCAAAGAAAGACTGTGGCTTTTCTCTATTTATATGTACATGGTAACATACCACAGAAAAACAAAATTTTAAATATTAAATGTATTAAAACTAATGAAGACAAGGATGATTAACATATAATATCTTTGAACTATATGCAAGTCACAGGATTCCTCATCCATAAAGTTGGAAGAGAAATATGACTAAAGAGATATCCTTTCTGCAGAGGGGTTGATAAGTTTGCCAGCCAAATAAGGCTCACTGTGTGTTTTTATCAATAAAGTTTTATTAGAACACCACTCTCATTTTTCAGGCACTGTCTGTGTCTGCTTTCCTGCTCCACTGTCTGGATTGAGTAGTTGCCACAGAGATTATCTAGACTTCAAAGTGTAAAATACTCGCTGTTGTGCCCAAGATCAGCAGACTCGGCGAGCATAGCCTCCAAGAATCCAAAGACAGCTGATGCAAACGCAAAAGGGAGTTTATTACGGGCTCGAGACCGGGCCCTCGACACGCACCGATGCAACGGCAGAGGTCGAGAGCCCCGAACAGAGGAAGCAGGGGTATCTTATTGGGTCGCGAGTGACGCGAACTTTGCAAGAAGCTGGCAATTACTCATTGGCTACTACAAAGGCATTTTGGCGCGCGCGGTTAGTTTCAAACTCATTGGACGGTTAGAGATGCTGTCGCATTTATGGACAGGACTGCCCTCATTGGTGGCTGGGGTGGTCTGCTTTTTCGTCACCAAGTGGAGTGAGGGTTGTGACTGCTGAAACTATCTCCGGAATGCGGCTGGACAAGGACTAACATAGCAAGGTGGAGGATATACAAAATGGCGAAACCTCGGCTAAGCTTGGTTCCACACTCGCTTTGTGGCCATTCACAGAAAAGTGTTGCTAAGTTCTGTGCTCTTAACAGACCTCACCAAAAGAAGATATGACATGTAACAATACTTAAGGTGTAGGATGTTGAAAATCAAATTACTAGCATCACCATTTTCTCCTTTAGTAGGAGAGCAAGGTTTGGGGTATAATCCTCCGTTTGCCAGAGGATTCTGCTGCTCTACTCCTGCATAAGGAGAAGTACTGTGACATTTTTCCTCATGAATATGGATTGTGCATACAAACTTCATAGTTGAAAATGTATGCTTTAATAAAACTTATTTAGAGATATAGTCTGTACAGTACGTGGATGTGTGTGTGTGTGTGTATATATATATCTATACATATAGTAAAGATTTATTTATTTATGCATACAAGATCTGGGGTATAGGCCAGAGATGTGGGGGGGGTGAGAACAGGCAGATCGACTGAGATACACTGCTGAGGCGAGCAGCGGGCCAGAGAGGAGAGGTCTGCTGCACCATGTGGGTTGCTCCCTGGCCAACCAGGGATCGAACTCGTGCTGCAAAGGCTGCGGATTGCTTCATAGTGTGGTACTTAACCCCTCATGGCACCAGGGAGGCCCAGATGAATATATTTTTTAAAGATTTATTTATGCATACAAGAAGTGTGGTGTAGGCCAGAGGTGAATGGGGGTGAGAGGATTCACCAAAGACAGAGCAGGGAACAGAACAGACAGATTGACTGAAATACACTGCTGAGGGAAGCAGCAGGAGAGACAGGAGAGGTCTGCTATTCCTTGTGGGTCACTTCCCTGGCTGGGAGTTGAACTCGTGCTGAAGTGGCTGCAGATAGCTTCATAGTGCTGAGACTTAACCCCTCACGCCACCAGGGAGGCCCCAAGTGGATGTGTACTTTATTAAGTGGATGTATAGCTCTACCACAAAGAAGGTAGACACCAGAAATATTTGGCAAAAGCCAAGAGCTGAGATGATAGCTGAAAACATAATGGGAAATAGCACGTTAGAACTATGGAGCAAGGCTGGCATCCTACGGAGCAGCAAAAATGGATAAGCCCCCCACTTGTTAGAGAGTGGGGCTAACCTCCACATTTCTGAAAGCCCCCCCCCCCACTTAAGGAAAACATAAAACATATGACTGGAAAACATATTTTAGGAAGACAGAACAATTCACCAACTATTCCGCTCTCAGGAATCGTTAAAGTTCACCCTTAGCGCCCGTCATTAAACTGGTTGCCCAGAGATGGTCCTCAGCCCCCACGCACCAGAGAAGCTGAGGGTGTTGGGAACTGAACCTTCCCCTCCCTCTCCACAGCTCCCCTTCTGTACCCTGGGCGGAGTAAAAATAATTAATCACCTTGGAAATATCTCTGACTTCATGCTTGTCAGTAAATAGCCGTCGGACACAACTGACTGCCACGGAGGACGGAGCAAGGAGCCATAATTAAGGTTTGCAAACTCAAAGCCAACACACAGCATAGCTCTCTAATTTTTCCCCACCAATGATCATAAAACACACTGTTATTTTATGATGACATTTGCATTGTACTTGACAGTTGCTAGAGCAGCTTCTTATTATCTTTGTCTATTAAGAGTTGTGTCGATGAGCACAATGGTTTTTCCCACACCAGACCAGGTCCTGTGACCTGCTCTGTACAGAGCAGGAAACAGGGGCTGCACAGAGCTTGTTGAGATTCCCAAGAGCACACAAGTCAGGGCTAAATAAAACGGACTTGACTTGGAATCCATGCTCTTTTGACTATGCTGTGTGGCCTCCTAGGATGCCAGGGAATCAAACTGCTATCAGATGACGGTTTCAGGCTTCCTTGTCCTATGGAGTGGATTGTACCCCCTCCTCTACCTCAAATTTGTGTGTTGAAGGCCTAACCCCCATTGTGACTGTATTTGGAGATGGGGCCAATAAGTAATAAAGCTCAATGAAATCATTAGGGTAGAGCCTGGGATGATAGGATTAGTGTCCTTATAAGAAGAGACACCAGAAAGACTGTTCCCTCTCTTTCCACCATGTGAGGTAAGAAGGCATCCCTCTGCAAATGAGGAAGAGAACCCTCAGTACCAAATGGACCAGCACCTTGACATTGGACCCCTACCCTCCAGAACTCTGAGATATAAATTCTATTGTGTGAGTTATCCACTCTGTGCTATTTTATTATGGTAATCTAAGCAAACCAAGACAACTTGCTAAGATTGACATTATTTAAGGTGAGGAAAATTCTGGAAAAATATATAGTTTGCTATAGTAACATCTAAATTGGATGAGAAAATAAATTCAAAGTACAGGCAAATTTTTAAAAGGGCCAATGGTGAAATTTCATGATTACACAAATTATAAATTCTTGTAATTGATCTGCAAGCATCAATCCCCAAACATCCAACCTTAAGGGTAGTGTTAAATTTTGCCTGGTGAGTTAAGTGTCGGTAAAGCAGAGATCTTGTTAGAGTTTAGTTGCTGAGCGATGAACCTCTGTGTTGTCTGGAGCTTCTAAATCAACAGTGGTGAACTGTGCTTGAGAGGAAAGGAAGCAGCCCTGAAATACAGCAAGGTTTTCATGTTTCCTGCTTGGACAGAATCAACTTCAGGGGAGGCCAACATCAGACAAGGTCCCTCTGTGACATTGATGGATCAGGACAGAGCGCAGACAATGGCAGGCACATGGTCCAAGCCACAACCTACTGATCATAAATATTCACCCTTCCCAGATAATACCCTAAGGTCAGCTGCTCTGCCCGGTTCATCTGCCCCCCTTATAGGTAAGTGTCCCTGGGGTCTCCAATCACAGAATCACCGCCCTGTGTGAGTTATCCACTCTGTGCTATTTTATTATGGTAATCTAAGCAAACCTTAGATTACCTGCTTCCTGTCAGCCTGCAGTCCCAAGCAAAGTCTGGCTTCCTTAACCTCCCCAGCTGCTAGCACAAATCCTTCCTTTCTTGAGTCCCGAGATGCCCCATGGCTTTGCTGTCCACACCGCCATGAGCAATAGGCCCTGGGTATCCAGGTTCTCCGTCATGGGGGTCTTTGGAGGCTCTGACCAAGGGGTCACGGGGCCCCGCCTCGCACTTCCTCCATCTTGTTTGTCTCAGACAATCTTAGTGAACATATTTTTAGAATAAAGCCTTGAAATTCTAACAGTTGAAATCCCACTGTCGTGTTTCCTTCTGTTTTTCCTTTTGTTTTAAAGTGCGACAGAAATAAGATTCAAATATATCAAGGGAGTTAATTACACTTGGAATTTTAAAGAATTCTGAGGTCCCTTCATAGGCAATAGTAATATCTCCACTAAGTACATTACCTCTGGCTGGTAGGAAGCTGGTTAATAAAATTAAGCGATGTAGGTTTTGTATCAATTGAAGACATTTGTTATTTTTGCCTGTCTAGAGCCCTTACACACCCTCTCCTCTGACAGCTCATAGAAACTTTCTTTCCTGCGGGGAATTCAGTAATGGGGTGAGCTCCACGATCACACACTAACTTCTCCCTCCACCCACCCCCGACCCCATACACATAACACAAAATGCGATACACCTGTGATCTTGGTCTGTTGAACCAGAAAACCCCAATCCCCTTGCCACACTGATTGGTTTAGGGAAGGCAGGTAACCTAGGACTGGCCAGAACTGGGGCTGACACAGCAACTTTCTGCCAAGTCTAAGTTGGTACCTGCACAGCTGTGATGCCACTCATCCTCAACACCATTCACTTTAAGTTATGATTATGCTAATTTATGATAAAATTATGCTAAATTGATATAATTTAAATATAATCTCATTGTGATAACTTATGAATTCACCTCTGGACTACAAACTGTCTAGGGTCATTCTGAAGCTAAGCATCTCCAATTCATGGCTTTCTAATGGGGGGACATCAAATGTGGCCTAACCACCTCAGTGCTGTGGATTAACATTAATGGACACAAGCAAACATTCCATTGTTCACATTGAGAAGAAAACATACATCAAGACTTACTCTTATTAAAAAGCAAGTAAATACAACTTATTATCTACAAAGAGTTTCATCTATTCTGAGTCTGAACATACCACAAAAACAGGATCGTTGGCAGCAGAATGTGGCAAAGCATTTGTTCCACTGAGGAAGGTATGGACCAAATTGTGGAGGTTGGTCATTGGAAAGTCCAAGGTCCCATCTGCTTTGTCAAACCCTTCCAGGGCATTCCTGAGAACAATCAGTGTGTCAGCGACAACAGTCATGAATTAATAAAGGTTTCTTTTTATTTCCAGCCTGAGATCAGGTAGGGGAATAGGATATTGTGACATAGCTAATTAACTACAAATTAGTCCCAACCTTTAATGATGACCTTCTCTAAGAGGAGGGCATTTTCAATCAACACTACTCTGTACCTACTCATTTGGATTATATACTTTTTATGGACAGGTAGGACAATTATTTACGTGCATAGCTATCCTCCATCCCAAATTATGAACTCCTAGAGGTAGAGGCTGTGTTTGCTTTGTTCAGATTTTTGTGATCAGGGCTCAGCACCATCTCCAATACACAGTCAGTGATCAATAAATATTTTTTAATTAATATATAACCACGCATTCCATTTCTCAACTAAATAAATCTGCCATTTGATTGTGATGTATTCAGCATTCTAAACATATCCCAAAGTTTCCTTAGCCTCCTCTCTTTTCCTCTTCCCTATTTTCAGGAAATTCTAATTGTCCGTACCTTAACTCAGTGATCCTCAAATTTAAGCATATATTGGAATCACTGAAGAAAAACACATATTTCATGCCCCACTTCCAGAGTTTTTGCTGCAGAAGGTATGGGCTGGGTTCTAGCAATCTGTAGTTCTAACCAGCTCCCAGGTGGTACCGATTATGGTGGTGTCAGCTCCACATTTGGAGAATGACTCCCTGTACCAACATCTACATGGAATGCACTCTGTTTTCTAAGCACTTCTGTCATGATGAAAAACAAATGCATTTTATCTGTTTCAAAACAATCTTAAATGTCACCCTTTACCTCACTTTTGACACTACCCAGAGGACTGTGACCAGCCCTGGCACAGACTCAAGCCTTCCTTCACTTAGCATAACCTCTCCATTTAAGCTCCACCTCCCATCCCTGGCCCCAAGTCAGTCATATAATTTACACACAGTCTCATTTGGAGACTGTGATCTATCCATCATTCCTTTTGGCCCTTATTCATCTTTGTTTAGTATCTTGTTTATATCTCTACATATTTCTCATCATCCTCAAAGCCTTTTTAGAGGGAGAAAAATATCAGCGGTCCTTTAAAATCAAGTATTATAATTTCACTGCTGTGCTATGATTTGAACTGAATTTAGTTTGTTTTTCTAGAGAGCTCAGATTCCAAATTAATGTGTATAACTGATATTGTTTTGTAAGATAAAGGAGCATAAGCAAATATCTTCAATACTACACATATAAATTTGTTTATTTAACATATAGAATATTACTATTCAGCTATAAAAAAAGTTGCCATTTGCAGCAACATGGGTGGAAATGGGAGGGGTAATGCTAAATGGGATAAGTCAGAAGGAAAAAGAAAAATACTGGATGGTTTCATTCATATGTGGAATACAGAGAATCAAAACAAAGGAACAGACAAAACTAAACCAGAACAAACCCTAGAAATCTCACTGTAGAATTGAGACTACAGAGGGAGGTGTGGTAGGGGTAGGTAATGGGGGTGGGGCTCAATGGACTGTGATAAATATTATATTTAATGGGGTACCCTGGTTCTGAAGGCCTTACCAAAAACAGAAATACAGAAGATGACTTTGAATAACTAAATTAGATGGTGTGAAAGCCATACTATTAATTATAATTATAATGAGTATATAACAACTCTCCTGACACTGATGTTTTATTAACTGCTCTCATCCGGCCCCTCTCCCTTACTTGGTTTTGTAGCTCTTCCCCAACACTTGGATTTCCCGCCAGTTCATTCTAACCACAGACTGAAATTGTCAAAAGTGTAAGATGCCAGTCTAGCAGAGCTCAGCGCACCAACCTGAAGCTGAAGGTAGAGTTCTGGAAGAAAGGGGGATTGTCAAACTTGTTGAGCGACAGGCAATCTTGAATGTCTTTTAAGGTTGGCAATTTCTCATTGTTTCTTCCCACTTGATTTCTTCTCAACAAACCTTCATAGGTCCCATTACATAGCGTGACTCGTTGGTTGTAGTCATCTAAGCTAAGATGTGTAAGAAACGTAAAAATAGAGAAACCAAATAAAGGAGTGATAAAGACAAGCTTAAAAACTAACCCTTGAGCGCTGACTACAGAACTGAAGCATCCGGGGAGGGCTGGGAGGAGTAAAAACAGAGAGAAGAATACAATGAGCTGTGGGGTAGACTGTTGGGTGACGTGGCGGCAGGTACACTCCAGTAACTACACCTGAAGGGGAGGATCCTGTACTTCTACAATACCAACAATAATATAAGCTGATATTACTTCAATAAAAATAAACCCCTTTAAAAAACTGCAAAATTTCAATTAAAAAAAAAACCTAAAAATAATATGTCTTGCTTTGTAGTAGATAATTTCATAACTTTGGGCCAACCAGACCAATCGGGTAATAGTCACAGACTACATAGTACCATGATAAATTATGCAGTTCTTTACATATTAATTATACATTGCATGTCATGATATACATTATTGATTTATAATTTATATTGCAATATGCATTATTGTATAATGGATGTGATACCTTACAAGGGTCAAAAATATATAGTAAGGGCCTCCCCGGTGGCACAGCGGCTGAGTGCTGGGTTGCAAAGCTGCCCGCAGCCTCTGCAGCGCTGGTTCGATCCCCGGCTGCTCCCCGGCCACCGGAGGAGGGTCCCACATGGCACGCAGACCTCTCCTGCCGCCCGCTGCTCCCCTCAGCAGTGTACTTCGGTCCTTCTGCCTGCTCTGCTCCCCGCTCTGGCTCTGGTGAATTCTCTCACCCTCCCGTGCTTCTGACTGTACCCAGTGCTTGTATAAATAAATACATAAATCTTTAAAAAAATAAAATAAAGTAAAATAATAATCAAAAAATATATATGGTAAAAGAACTACCTTTGAAAGCAACTAAGGATTGAGAAGTCTCAAAACATAGATGTATAACTATGAAGAACACTGCTCCACTTCCAGGCAATAAGAGCCGTTAGGAGGCAAGAGGGTGACTCTTGTCACATACATTTGAGTCTTGAGGAGCTGAAGAGAAAACAGGGTGGCCCATAACTTACTCGACTGAGGCAGTTTGGGCAGAAGTGTCCATGTCAAGTTAATCAGACATTTTAAACAAACTGATGGCAAGTGGCAGAGGTCAGAGTAAAAGCAGATGGGACTATCTAGAAGAGAGGCACTGAGGGAGACACTCTATTAGAAACCGTACGAAAGCAGTGGGGGTGGTTATGTGGTAAACACGGAGGTTGAAAAGGTTCCATCCCGTAAAAGGTGATACCCCGGGGCCTGCTGTGACCTGGAATTCCACCTCCAGAAAACTATTTAGCTAGTAGATTTGAATATTTAAAAATTTTTCTGTGTGGGTTTTAATGGGTGAGGGGGTAGTATGAGCGTGTGTGAGAATAGAATCTGCACCTACGTGAGGCTGAGGGAGGCCAGTGCCTAAAAACGAGGCCCAGCAAGGCCTGTCAGGCAGCATTTCCCCAAGTGTATTCCAGTGACATGGTCTATGAAGTGTAGGTCACAGAGTGAGACAAGTTTAGTTCCTTCCTGAAGAATAATTATGTTTACATAAGAAAGACTCTAAGAGATCTAAAATGAAAATAACTTTTTCACTCAGTATATTCCTTCAATTTATTTGATCATGAAATCTCCTTCACATACTACCTATGAATACCCTAAAGCAGGGTGAGAAATAGTACTCCATGGCATCAAGTTAAGTCACGTGAAAAACACTTATAATGTGCCTGTGTGCTGTGGAGCACTGTCTGGTGATCTGTCAAAAGGATTAGGGGGTAGAAGATAGGCTCCCCACTACCTCAGCTGGGGCCCCATAAGTGTGGGCCTGTCCAGGCTCAGAGGCATTGGTTCTGAAGCTCTGTGGCACGGGGCAGACAAAAGACACGGGACAAGGGAGGTAGAACGATGGGTTTACTAACAGAAAACCTTGAAGGGAAGAAAATAAATAAGGAAGGTGTCCCCCTGGGAATCTTTTTCTGAAAAGTATCATAGGAAAGAGAAACTCACTCAGTGAATCCCCAAAGACAGAACTGCTCAGGGCTGCAGGCTGCAGTCTACCTGCTTATGCGTCTTTATAGGTTCAGAACTCCTTCTCTCCTGCCCCTCTCAACTCACCAGCAGTCCATGGCAGCCAGACTGCTTGCAGACTTTTCTAGCTTCATGTGTGATATTCCCTCCACCTGAGACACACGCTCCCCTCCATCTGCATAAGGTTTTAAAGTCTTAAGGGTAATCGCCATCACATCCTTAGAATTTCCCTGCCTCTCTTCTGAGCTTTCTGTGTACACCTATTAGGATGATCCTGGCACTGCATTGTAACCTTTTTACATGCAATCTACCTTTGTACCTATAAAACAATATTCAAAAGGAAAGCTATATTTTATTTGTCTTTGTTTTCCCAGCACTATTACACTGCTTAGAATATGACTGGTGCTTAAGAAATGTCTGAATGTAGGAATGAACTACTTCTAATTTCAAAAGAGATGATCTCAAAATGACAGGCAAGTATCCTGAACATCCAAGTGCCATTTCCATACCTCTATTCTTTTGTATTAAGGGACTTAGAGTGTTTTAAAATCCCACTATGGTTTGGAAAACCATTGTTTGCAAATATAAATAGAGCACACCATGCATTAGGCACAGAAACATAAAATGACTCTCCATCCCTCAGGCAAGTAAGACAAATTAAGTCTCTGGATTTTCATGCAGGTGCATCCGAATTACCTGTCACAGACAATCTCCCAATTGGAAAATCTGGAGTTCGTGCTAATGAGGGTTGGGTCGTCTTGTCTCGCCGCCCCCAGGAGCTGGTCTGTACACACGTCACACTCGTTTCCCCCGGTGGCAAAGTTCCAGTAGGGCAAAGCAAAGGACTCGTTGCCAGTGAGCCGCTAGAAGCAAAGAGCACGCCTAGTCACAGAATTCGTGCCATCGGATACGAGAAAGCATGAGAGCAAAGTCTGATGTGCATCATCACCAAAATGTGGAACAAAATGAAAAGAACCAAATGTAGAGTTTGAACCAACCTGGAGATCTCTTTCCAGCCACAACAAATGGTACCGGTGCCAGGTGACAAAGGCGGGTCCTTGATGCGAGAAATCTATGGCCTTATATGGGCGCCCTGGTCCTACAACAATCGGAAGCCATTAGGGAGCACAGAATCAGTCTTTCAATCTTACCTGGGGTGTGTCTGCAGAGCCTTTAAGTGTATCATGTTTTAGCCAAAATAAAATTTGTTTTTGCAACAATAATTTCAGAAGCAACAAGCACCTTCATGATATGGTCTCCTCCCTCTCTCCAAGTTGGATTGCCAACAGAAATCCAAAATATCAAAATTCAGGTCACTTTAACATAACATGAAAAATGACATATTTAACTTCTATGCACATTTCATTGAGATGAAATAAGAGTAGCTAAAGGAAGGGGTCATTAAAAACTAAAGGCAATAGAATCTTTAAAGACAGTTTCTAACCTAGTCTCACAAATGTGCAAGTTTATAAGGGAGGGATTAATTCATAATCAGACAACCTCCTCTGTGCTCAGCCCTAATTCAGCATTTATAGAACGAAAAGAACTTACATTGATTGTACCTCAGCCATCAATCAGTCCCAACAACTAGCTGACAAGCTTGGTCGCCGAGACCAGAAGAGGGAAAAATACATTCAAGCCCATTTGGCCCGGTCACTGGAACTGCCAATTTTAGTGAACAGCTTTGGGCAATTTAATGACCTCCTTATAGCCTGTTCCATCCCTCTTTCCTTTTCATAACAGCTTTTGATGGTTATGTAGAAACTTGAGCTAACTTCAGTTCTTTTTTAAAGTACCTATAATAACTTCAGGGAGCTGAAGAGACATGAATATAAATTTAATTTCTAGATATGACCAGAAACTATAGTTTTCTTTCCCTCTTGAGAGACAACCCTCTCATAAAGCAAAAATTCCTCAGAGTGATGACAGGAAAACCATAAAGGTTTATAGCCAGGAGAGCCTTCTTATCTATAGATAAAGAAAGACAGATGCTTCCCTTAGAGGCAAGTTTTTTAAAAGCCGTTCCGCTGAGGAAAGAACTGCTCCTGCTGCTGTTGACCACACAGTCCTTTTTTAATGTTTTGATCCAGAACAAAGTTTAAAGTTCTCAAAACAATACAATCTAGTAACAGTGAACCAGTGAAAAAACTCTAGGACAGACAATTCTATTTGAAAACCTCCCTCCTCAAAGTGGTGTTTCCAACCACCCCGACACCAGGAGGGGTCCCCAAAGTGGAGGGCGTTGCAGGTTGAGTCAAGGGCTCAAGCCCCATGCGCAGCCTGGAATGGACTCAAGTCCTCCTGGAACAAACTGTGTCTACAGATTTCGCCTGACTGAACAATGAGTGAGGACAGAGCTGATTCTACTAGAGGAATGAAATTCCTAACAAACCATTCCACGGCCCACTCGTAGGCCCAATTTTTAGGATCCCGAGGCCTCCATTTTCTCAAACAACCAATATTAATTGTGGTCCCAGGGGCTAAGCAGGAGAAATTATATTTGAGCTGCACAGCGATGGCCCAGCTTATGCTGGTCCTGGGCAACAAAACAACCCCACAAAACCTGGGGGGTCCAGCAGTACACAGGCGTAACAGTGACCTGAAAGGCGAAGACTAAGACATGTGAATTCAATGGAATTAAGCTGAGATGCACACTTCCAACACAGACACTAATTCTGCAGAAAGAAGGTTCATGTGCCTAAGCTTATGTTCAGTTAATGCCTCTAATTTGAAGGAAAGGTCAGTGATGGTTTCCATGGTCAGATTTAGGAATGTTTCCTTCTGGAATTAAGAGGAATTTGCACTCACTTCATCAGGTCTGGCCTTTGAGGATTAACAACTTCAAAGCGACAAGTTTAGACTTTGGACCCAAAACACAAGCCACGGGACAGAACTTTTCGAATGTCCGCAGCCAATGTATAGGAAGAAACTTCTCCTTTCTTACTTCAGACAGGGCCTCCCTGGTGGTGCAGCGGGTTGAGCGCAGCACTGTGAAGCTTCTGTAAGCACCGGTTCGATTCCCAGCCGGCCAGAGAGATACTGTTTTCATAAAACTAATCCCTCCTTGAGGTCTTCTTCTTGCTAACTAACTTGTATGAAATTACTTCCTAGCCATCCACCTGCTCAATCCCAAACCAGTAAGAATAGACCTTAAGGTAAGGAAAAAACCCACCTAATAGTGTATCTCTGACAGAATAGTAATGGAGCCACACAAAGAAATCGTAAATGCTGCAGTTGGCGATCTGGGGCTGGGTCCTGTTGGGCCCGAGCAGGCCCAGCCAGTGCTGCGTGGTGATCACGTAGTCGGGGTGTGGGGTGTTCTTCGCCAGGTCTAAGGCACCCAAGAACTGCTCCCTCTCCTGAGGCGTCAGCGAATGGATGTTCTTCCGAATGACCGGTGGTTTCTTCCGATCACAGTTGGGACCCGTCCAGCCGAACTTGCAGTCTCCACAGTCATAACCAGCAAAGTTTCCTGGTGTATTTTAAAAATAATAATAATAAAGGGAGAGATGGAAGAAGTATTTGTCATTTGGAAGAAATTTCTCCACGTGAACACTGGAGTAGAATGGAAGCGGGGGACAAAGTCTTATGAGAAGGCAATAAAAGCCAGTTTCCTCCCCTTTTATAATGTTTGCATCTCCAAGTGGACTGAAGACCAAAGCATTAACTATTAATTATTAATTAATTATTAATAAATTATTATTAAGCATTAATTATTTCCAAAAACGAAACAGGACATAAGTGCATGATATATGATTATAGGCTGATATGTGTCTCCCCCAAATTCATGTTAAAATCCTACTGTCTGGTACCCCAGTATATGCCTACTTGGAGAGGGGGTATTTCAGGAGGCAATTAAGTTAAATGAGGTCACCTGGGTGGCCTTAATCCAGTATCTTCCCAGGTGTCCTTGAAAGTGAGGAAATTTAGACACAGAAAGTTACTGAGGCAAGACCATAGGGAGCCGCAGGGAGAAACAGCAACCCGCCGAGACCTTGATCTGGAAGGACAGGCCTCCAGAACTGAGACAGAATGAGTTTCTCCTGCCCCCCAAGCTGTGGTACTTTGTGATGCAGCCTCAGCAAGCTAACGCCTGTGCTGTCTCGCACCTCTCCTTCCTCTCACCGGTCACACAAAGGGCCCCCCTCGTGCTTTTCACACCCCCACATGGGTGGGGCAGGAGCCTGGGATACCCGCTGCAGATCCCTGCTCCCCCGTGGCACACACCACAAGCACCCACACCAAAGCATTCACTGATTTCGAGGGGGAAAGAATATATCCAGCTGGGCCTCCCTGGTGGTGCAAGGGGTTAAAGCACAGCGCTGTGAGGCTTGTCTGCAGCCTCTGCAGCACAAGTTTGCTCCCCGGCTGGCCAGGGAGCTATCCACATGGCACAGCAGACCTCTCCTGTCTTGCCCACTGTTCCCCTCAGCAGCGTATTTTAGTTGATTTGCCTGTTCTGCTCCCTACCCTGTCTCTGGTGAATCCTCCCTCCTGCACCTCTGGCCTGTACCCCAATTCTTGTACGCATAAATATATAAATCTTAAATATATATATATATATATGCCAGCTGAAGGTGCAACCAAAATAAGTAAGCTCATATCCAGAAATGTAGGTGACATCTAACACTAGAAATGCTGGTTTATTTCACAAAGGAGGCAGAATGAAGGCAAAATCCACACAGGCTGGCGGGTCATCAGGGTGAATTAGCAGCCAACAAACCCCAAATCCCAGCAGCGCTCCATGTCAGCTGCACTAATGACTCTGCTTCATCCACCAGGGAATGAGAACTACTTCCATCAAATGCCAAGCATCTTTCTGATTAGCTCTAAAATTTAAATTATTTGAGCTTGCCCTTGACTTTCTTCTTAGCCTTGAATATTGCTTTTGCTATGACCATCCATCCTTCTTTAGGTGATGATATGTTAGACAGTAAATATTTAAATACTATTCAAGTAGGACAGTTGCATGGGAGTTTGGGGGAAGGTGAGTGAAGCAGGTGGCATGGGGTGGTGTGAAAATGTACCCCCAAAATGATATAGTTATGCAAAATACATAACTAAACATATCAATAATATTTCAGGAAAATACATGCATGCATACATACATACATAGACACATACATGCTTAAATATTCATGTGAAATGTCACAACAAAAGGGAATAATAACACTGACCCCCCCAGGGGGTGAGAGGGGCTATAGAAAGCATTTAACTGGGTGACCAGCTCCCATGCGCCCCTCATCCTCCCTCATGCTCCCAGATCTTCACTTGCTCTTCCTTCTGTCTACCTTTTCCCTCACCATCTTCCTAAATTCTTCTTTACCAGAGTTACCTCTCGTAAGCATCATGATGAGCTTCTATAAGGTCATCCTTGATTCCACAGATGGGATCAGGTACCCCTGGTCTGTGCTCCCATGGAAACTTGATTCTATTGTATTTATCCCACTGACTGTAAAATCTACTTGTCTCCACTACAGGCTAACAAAGGTTGTTATTCTGCAGCCCAGGCCTGGATTTGGCCCTAATCAAAATTAAAATCTGCCAAATGAGTGAAAGACAAGTCCAACCAAATCATCACGAGGAGTGCTTTTAATAGCTCTTAATCTTATTTGTTAACTATGTCTCCAGGAAGCTGAAATGCTAAAATTTTTAAATAAGAAATAAATATAAAGCATGTCATAGATAATTCAATAAACAAATTTTCTTCCTTTCTCTTTGAGTCCTTGTGGCTTAAAAGAAAAAGAAAGCCCTGAAAAGATAAACTTTAAGTATAAAAGTTAAAGTGAATAAATAATATGAGAGAGAGATCATTTGGATCTCTAAAGGAAAAATAGCATAAAAATGAAAATAATTGGCATTTGTACTATGTAAAGAAAATGCACAGATCTCCTTTATTATTTATTCAACAGACCGTTTCATGGTTACAGAAAATTTTCTTTAAATATCTTAAAGAGGAAGAATTTTGTTAAATAACTGGCTACTTGGGTTTTATGCTCTTTGTAGCATATATAATATATCTACCTAACCTTAAATAGCTCAATTATCTGTATTTTCCCATGTTTTTTAAGAGATTGAGTTAAACATTAAAATTTATATTGATTTCTGGAGTGAAACTGTTAAACTACAAATTAATGGCAAATATTTATTGAGCATCTATTACAATATCAAATGCTGTACAAAATGCTGCAGTCATCATGGTCTTGGGTGCCTTTCTTTTCCCTCAGTGTAGCTACTAAAAATGTGTAGTATCTAGTTTAAAAACGCCTTTGATTAAAGCACATCATGGAGTTGAGCAGCTTTGACATGAATAGAAAATTTTTTCAGGAATCATTGAAAAAAAGGCACCTGAAGAATACTAAGAACCCAAACTTCCAGCTCTTGCCTACAGCCAGATAACTGAAGGAGAATACAGTCACAGCCCTAAAATGAAAGAGTAATTCTTTCCTTCAAAATATTAAGAAAGAGCACACCTAAACTGTATAATAAATTCAGTACACTTCTATACTAAGGCATGAAACTTAGAATTTTGGGGTCTTACTGAAATCAAGTAATTAGAAGCTAATTTATGCCATAAGTTTTATGATTCCTGCACTTTCTTTGCTACAATTCTTTTTGGTTGCTAGCACAAAATTACTAATAACTAATTATCTCCCCCATTCATTTATTCAATAATATATTAACACCTACTCCTTAAAGGATCATCAAAACTAAGCATACCTCCACTGCTTTATGTATGTTCAGACAAGTTGCCACACTTTGAACTTAACCGCTCAGCCCTGTCATATTGGGATAAGCGCTACTTCACAGGGTTCTTATGGAAAACAAATGTGTTCATAAATTCGATCAGTCTGAACCGTGTCTGACACAGAGTAGGTTCCGTGTTAGGTGTTATTATCTTTATTACGAAAGACCACTTAGGGAGCAGTATTGTAAATATTTGTTTTCATATCTGTCTTACTTATCCACTCCACTGTGGGCACCTTCATGTTGAGATTTTCCCCCTCTGTGTACCTGAACATAATTGGTGCTAAATAAATACTGGTTGGGTGGGTGATAAAGGAATCCATGAATAATTGAAAGAAAAGACATTTTAATAGTAGGGATGCAGATGATGGACATAAGCTGATAAAATATCAGTGCATGTCTAACGGTGGAGAAAGTGAAAACAGAGGGATAAACTGAGATCCGGGAAGAACAAAAAGTGACATGATTAATTCTGACTCAGAAGACCAGAGATGCTTCATAATCATGTTGAACAAAGCTGTCTAGTTTCACCAAACCTGGGTTACCCCTGCAAAGCTCCGTACAGACATTCTAGTAAGAAAGCGTTTGTCCCTATCTGAGCTCATGTAGTCTGGGTCTACACTGACATGTGGTCTACACTGATGTGTAGTCTGTGGAAAAATTCCTTTTCCAGTGTGGCTCAGAGAATATACACAAAGCTCAGAAGTCAGGCCCCTTTCGTTTCTGAGCTTCGAAATTTGGTCCAATGAATGTGCTGAATGCCAAAGACAAATGAAAAGGACCGAACAAAAATCTAGCACACAACTTATTTAGTTAGTTAGTTTAGCTCTCCTACTAGTTCCTTACATCAATTTAATGAGTTAATTTTTCCTTTAATTCAATAATAGCAGCAGCAAAAAATATAATATAAAATATAAATATTCTCTCTAAGAAAATGCAATAATAAAAATAAATCTTTTTTAAAAGGGTTAATAAATATAAGCTTATTTATAATCATAAAATATAATCATTTTAGCAAGGACTGAATTCTCTTGCTGGGAAGCGGAGAGAGAGAAAAAAAACCAAGGATCCTGAGAAACTGATCTGTGGACCAATGAGTGTGTCCTTGAGCAAAAATGAAATTTAAAAAGTCAAAGTTCTCTGCCTGCTTAGCACTGGGATAATAATGGAAAGGGAGCGAAGAACAACCAGACAATACACGTTTCTACATGAACAGCATCAGCTCAACCTCAGGAGGCTATTAGACTAAATAAGCTTAAAGACCACCGATTAGTGAATTTACAAGGAACTCTAAATAGCCTATTCCTTTTAATTAGACATTCTATTATTTTAATAACAATACTTTATACTCACCTGGGGCCTTTCATCTGCAAAGCTCAAAAGGATTTTACAAGTGTGGTTTCATCATTATCCCCATTTCAGAGATTGGAACATGGAGGCACTTAGTCACTTGTATGAACAAGAAGTTTTCAGACAACTGTTCAAAAACAATTTGATGCGCACGTTTTTCAGAAGTCCAAAGTCTGCAACGGGTAGATTCTCAGAAATGCCAACTGGCAAGAAAGACTTGTAAGGTGAACGGCTCATGCCAAAGTCTCCTGAAACTCAGCTCTTCCTGACAATTAAGTTCAATAATGTTTTATTCCAACTTCTACAGAGAATAGGGAAGTGCCCTCTAGAGAATTTGAATAGTAATTTAGGCTTTTCTTTCCTCAGAGTTTGCCTTTATTTCTATGCATTAGGCTAAAATATCTTACCAACTTCCAGGCATGTTTATTTTTTTCTCAAAGATTTATTTATTTATGCATACAAGAGCTGGGGTACAGGCCAGAGGTGTGGGGGGTGACAGGATCCACCAGAGACAGAGTGGGGAACAGAACAGGCAGACTGACTGAAATACACTGCTGAGGGGAGCAGTGGGAGAGACAGAAGTGGTCTGCTGTGCCATGTGGGTAGCTCCCTGGCTGGCCGGGGATGGAACTTGTGCTGCAGAGGCTGCAGACATAAGATCAGTGCACACAATGGTGACCTGTAGGTGTGATGTTGCACAGAACTCCGGACCTTATTCAACTTGCTTAACTGAGACTTTCTACCCAGGGAATAGTAACTCCCCATGCACTACTACTCTCCCCTCCATTCCACTCTTTGATTCCACAAATGACTGTCTTAGGTACCACAGGTACGTGGAATCATGCAGTAACTGTCCTTCTGTAATTGGCTTATTTCACTTATCATGATGTCCTCCTGATTCATCCATGGTGTCACATATTACAGAATTTCCTACTTTTTTAAGGCTGAATACTAGTCATCTGATGTATATGCCACTTGGCAAGGAAGTGGAGAAAGTGAAACCCTGGTGCACTATTGGTGGATATTCAAAATGGGCCTGCTGCTATGGAAAACAGTGTGGGGGTTCCTTTAAAATTTAAAAAGAATTATCATATGATCCAGCAATCCCATTTCTGAGCATATATCCAAAAAGAATTGAAGTCAGGATTTCAAAGAGATATTAGCATTCCCACATATATTGTAGCATTAATCACAAAAGCCAAGATGTAGAAATGCTTAAATGTCCATTAACAGATAAATGACGTTTATTTTTCCATTGAGTTAACAAAGTTCAGGATCATCCACAGTCTAGTTACCAGAAACTAATCTACATCTCTCTGTTGATAAATTATGGGTGACCCCAGGGGAATGCTGGAGTCCTATTTGAAAAAAAACTCTGACACTGCCAGAAAGAGGGGACTTGCGGGACTCCAGATTAGGTTAAATTCTGAAGACTGTCTCCAAACCATGACAAATTTACCCTAGGAAGGCAAGAGACTCACTCTTTGGGAGAGAAAAACTGAGAAACATGTGTCTCGCTTTGGGATACATGTCATATCACCGAATGGTGAATTCTGTGTGTGCTAGATAATTTTCCCGTGCAGGCACGAAGGATTTGGTCTGGTGCCCTGAGTCTCAAAGCAAAAAACCATCAAAGTCATCCTAAGTGGCACCATCCAACATTAGCTGGAAAAAGCTATGGGCCTAAGTAAGTCTAGAAAAATCCAACCATGGAAGTCAGCCACCGTCTGCTTTTGGATCACAGGGGAAGTCAGCCACAGTCTGCTTTTGGATCTCAGGGCAGCCATGACATTGGCTGCAGCTAGAGATGGAGACCACACATTCTGGGAGGCTCTGCTGCCTTGTGTGGAACTGTGGACCTGTGATGGAGGGCAGGCCCTGTGTCTGGCCCACTGGCTTCTCAACTCTGCTTATCCTCTGCAGGGTTGGGGGGGGGGCCCTTTTTATATATTAAAAGTAGGCCATTCTAACCCTAAGCACTGTCACCACCTTAAATATATATATGTATATATATATATATATATATTATTGCTAGTCTGGTCAAAAGATAATAGAGGTCACGGTCAGAAGAATTAATAGTTATATGGGGAGGGCCCAATAGACTAGGGCGGAGGATTTTAAGTGCTTTGGTGTTGGGTGTGATGTCTTGACACAGACCTGAAGGGGGTGATCCTATGCCTCTAAATCATATACAGTGTTGTAAACCACTGTAGGAAGGAAGGAAGGAGTCGATCTTTATGGAAAAAAGAGAGCTAACAGTCATAACTGATTTCCTAGTAGCTTCTGCCCAAGATTCCATACAACCGATTATAAGGTGTGGCATTCCTTCATTGACTGACCCGGCAATACATGTTCTAGAAAAGTTTTCAGAGTCACGGACAAAGAAGTTATTATATCCTGTGCTTTCCAGTCGCCCGGATAATATTAGACCTGCTGACTCTCATTAGACTGAAGAGCCAAGAGAATTGAGATAAGGTCTATGGAAGCAAATGCTTGATTGGCTATTAAATAGTAACAATGTTGGTCACAATGCCTGTCCAGGGCAAAACTAACAGTTCCTTTGAGTCACAGAGTTAACAAGGTGACTCTGAAATGAGTGTAAAGTCAAATTATAAAAACAACTGATGTCCCTCCTGCCTCCGTCTCAAAGTCCTTTGTCGTTTTCCTTTTTATACCCTTATCTAGTTATGATCTGTGTTCTCCTCTGTTCCAGCTTCACATGAGAACAGAAACAAAAATATTTTAAAAAGGAAAATTCATAGGCAGCTGGACGCCGTAGAACAGTGTCCAAAGCTTTACTACGGTTTCCCCTGAGGATTTTTTGTTTGCAGATGCCCTGCAAGGCTTTGGGGGTTCATCACCACTGAGCGAGGCTGCTGAACTCGAGGGGCACATTATGAGACTCAGAAGCTCTAGGGAGATGAGAAATGCAGAGAGGTTCCACAGAAATGGGTAATAAGACAGACCCAGAACTAAAAAAGAACAAATTTTGAAATGTCCACATCAACCCCAGACAAAGGAGCAAGTCACCGCTGTCTTTCTCCAGCCTCCCTTCTCCACGGCATCCCTCCAGCTCTGGCAAAGCTGCAGCCCGGCCATCGCCTTCCCAAGCAAGAGGTGCTCACTTGAGATCTGTTCAGGCCATTGGAAATGCTGCGAGCAGGACTAGGAATCACTGCTGTGGACCCTGTCTTTTCCAGGCCAAGCCTCTCCCACCCCACCCCCAACAAGAGCAAACCCATTTCAGAAGCAGAGGCCACCGAATTCTTCCTGAAAGGACTTGCTCTGAGTTTCAAAGCCAAGTCTGGAGCTGCTTAGCTTCGCCATCCAACAAACCAGCCAATGGTATGTTGGCAGCAGTTCATCTAACCAGGCGTGTCCTGTCATATTTATGTCGCTGCATGAACTAGATGCATGAGGCGGCGTGAAGGAGACCAGCAAGGCCTCAGCCTTCCCCAGCAGCAAACTCGCTTTGCTTTCCCAAGCCTGGTCTGACTGAGCCTAGAGTCCATCTCCTTCGAATGGGCTCCCCCTGACCAGCCGGGGTCCTCCTCAGAGCGTACCTGACAGGTGGGCCCACCTTCCTCACCTGTGCACTTGCAGGTCCGGTCGAAGAACTTCCTCGGCCACCGCTCCCGGTCATCCTGGTTGCGCAGGACGTAAGGGCCACTCCAGGGCCTGGTGTCCACTTGCACCTCCACGCAGCGGCCCCGACCCTGCAGGGAGCCACAGGCGTTGGCGGGCTCGGCGCCCAGCAGCGGGCAGCACTCCTTGGACACCAGGCGGCCGACCGTCATGCAGACCCGGGGGAACTGCGCTGCGGCGCGGGGCAGGCTGGCCCAGCCCAGGCAGCAGCTGAGCAGAAGGCCCCAGCCCAGGGGGCTCATGGCTCCACTCCTTGCTTCTCTCCTGCTCTCCCTGGCCTCCTGCGCGCGCGCTCTTGAGAGGTCACTCTCTGCTCTGATTTTGGGGTTTGGGGTATCTTTCTGTTTTGCCCTCTAGTCCTCTCCTTTTTAAAAAATAGCCGCACTGATCACAGCACCTATGCGTGTGCCCATGTGTGCGTGCACACGCACAGACCATTTTATGGGATTCAAACTGCAACAAATCTAATTCTGTTAGAAGCGCCTTTAACAGCTCAATTTAATGAGGGTAGCGCTTGTCCCGTCTCCTCCATTAAACCAGGCTTTGTCTAATTGAGTTAATTCACAGAGCGCCCCAGTCAGACTCCTTGTTATGCTGGTATTTCTAAGCCCTCTCCTTCCCTCCTTAGCCCTTGACTTTAATTGCCTTGAACTCAGTTCAAAAGCCAAACACCGAGCTGTCTTTATTCTGTCTGGCTTGCCAAGCCATGGGGCCTTGTGGGGTTTGTGGAAGGGCTGGGAGAAGCCGTCATTAGGGGAATTAGCATTAGAGAAATCCTCCTCGTTAGCACATGACCCCAGTGCACAATGAAGTAGATAAAGTTTCTGGCTTTGTTTCAAGGGGGCAAAACCATCTTCATTATCTGGGCTCATGTGCTCCCGCCAAGCTCGTGACCTCAGACTTCCTGGGGAGTCAATGGCTGGCTTGAAAGGCTCTTTGCACACAAGCGTGCTTGCTAAGGACGCCTCACTCCTGACTGCTCCTGACGTGCTGGGAAGACCGCCCCAGGAGTCACGCAACTTCAGAAATAAAGAAACATTTATTTGGGGCTGACGTACAAGGAATTGCTTTGTGCCACAATGAGGGACCCTCTTCCCTGCGCATAATAACTTACTATTCTATTCAGCACATCCAGGCAGCAGATTTTTTTTTAATGACGTAAAGTGCCCGCCATGCCACCAGAAATTGTCATTCTCTGTAAGGAAGGCGGTGAGACTATATGGAGCGAGGACTTCCGCGTGACAGCTTTTGATTCACGTTAAGGTTAAGCATTGTCAAGCATCCGTCTGGAAGGCAGTGCCTCCCCTGGCCGTCTAGGGGTGGAGAAGGGAAAAACAGATCAGCCACAATGGCTGGGTCCATTGATTCCTTCGTGGTGGAAACAGAACCGTCTTAGTGCATTGGGGTCTGTAGAGACAGCTGCTGGGAGACCGCGTCAGACAATTTCTAAAAGCACTTTGTATTTGGGCTTAAAGATACAAAATGTTATGCTCTAAAGCAAATTCCTAAGGTTAAAACCGTTTTGTATATCTTCCCACCCTTACTAAGCATCACCCCAATGATAGGTTGGTGACTGATTAATTGGCATCCCAATTATGACTGGACCTCAGTGTCGTCTGAAACAGAATCTTTGAGGGTGTGACCCAAAAGACCATTTTTCTAAGTTCTCTGCCATTCTCATGTGCGGGCTTAAAAGTTGCCTATCATCCGGGCCTCCCTGGTGGCACAAGGGGTTGATCACAGTGCTGTGAAGCTACCCGCAGCCTCTGCAACATGAGTTTGATTTTTGGCCTGCAAGGGAGCTACCCACATGGCGCAGCAGACCTCTCCTGTCTCGTCCGCTGCTCCCCTCAGCAGTATATTTCAGTCAGTCTGCCTGTTGTGTTCCCTGCTCTGTCTCTGGTGAATCCTCTCACCCCCACACCTCTGGCCTGTACCCCAGCTCTTGTATGCATAAATAAATATTTTAAATAAATAAATAAATAAATAAAAACCACTCATCAGAATAAAGCACAGTCCTCAGGAAATGTTGAAATCGAGTCAACCAAGATTCCATGTTTTCATTGCCCTATCCTGCCTCTACATTACCACAAAGGGGTACCCTGCTCTCAGTGCTGCAGGGTAGAAGCCCACATCTGAGTGTCACTGGGGCTTTGCTCTGCCTGAAGACAGGGGAGGAATCCTTCTTGCCTCTTCCAGCCTCTGGCGAATGGCTGCCATTCCTCATCTTCTTTGGTGAACTGCGCCTCTCTCCAGTCTTTCCCATGGTTTCCTCTTCCTCTGGAAGCTCTCTCTGAATGTCTCTGGTAAGGACAATTGTCATTGGACTTAGGACCTGCCTGGATAATTCAGGAAACTCTTGTCTTGACATTCTTAATTATGTCTGCAAAGAGTCTTCCACCAAATAAAGTCATATCCACAGATACTGGGCATGGACATAGCGCCTAGGAGGCCACATTTGAGCCATTACATCATGGATAGGGTGCTTGAAAAACATGAGGGTTGTGCTATCTCTGAGCTGGAAGGGTGGTCCAGAGCTCATTCATTCATTTCACATGTATTTATGGACCTGGATCCAACATCATTACACTCTGGGGTTGCACAGTCTGTGAAGTCCTGGGGTCACATCAATATTAGATCTAAAGTTCTTGGGTATTGACACTGATGGAGTCAATGACTCTTGTGTCAGAATGCCCCAGGTGGAGGATCTGGGTCTCTTCCTTCACGGCCCTGGCTAGATCCCAAGCTGGCCATCTGTTACCTGGCCCCGGCATGCAGACTGTCATCATCCATCTCCCACAGGACAGCCTGGCCTGACCTCCTCTGTGCCCTAGACTCATCTATCTCTCTTTCTATTTGACCTCTACCTGTAAGTCTAGACATCTCTCCATTAATATGCTCAAAGCAGAACTTTTGCTCTCTCCCCAGCAATTGTTCCTCCATTTTCTTTTCCAGTTTAGTAAAGCCCATCACTACAATTCTGTAAGTCATCCCTGATTCTTTTCTTCCCCACCACCTGCCCCACAGATGCTTCCTGAAATCCTTGGTCCTTCCATGTACTTCTGCAAGTGAGGTCGACAGATGCAGGGATGTGTGTTCATCACCTGCATCAAGGAGAGAAATCGAAGGTCAGAAACTGGCATAACCATTTGATGTTGTCGCAGCCACCAAGCACACAATCAGTGCACTCATCTTACTGAAGAGCCACATCAAGACTACCTTAGTGTCATTAAGGTTATGAAAAATATCATGTGAAATTTGTAAGGCACTTTGTATATCGTCCAACAGACGGCAGTGTCATTCTTATAAGGATCCAGGGAAAAGATTTCTCTCTGTAGCCATAAAAACTGTGCTTCCTTGTAGCAAAGTGCTTATCCTGAACACTTGGACAATGTGATCTTAGCCTCGAATTTCTTTCTTGGCCTTGGCCAAGGACTGGTTCATAGCCGGACTTGCAGCCCACATATCAAGAAACAGATGCACCTGGGTCTGGTTTTATGTTTCCTTCCTTTTGTCGCCCTAATTCTGGGATTTTTATTTTATCCTTTTGCAAATGTATGCATCTCTCTAGCCTATCTCAGCTCTCCTGAGAAAGGAAGCAGAGAGAAACATACACATGCAGGTGTATTTCTGTGTTGGTCTAAGCCGGGTTGTGGTTTGTAAACTGGCATTCCAGAAGAATCCTGAGAAGTTGCTGTAAGTTATCACACATCTAAGGATATATATGTCTAGGAGAGCTCACGTCATGAGCAGGGCTGTAATGAAACATTGTCTTATTTACAAAAGGCAATAGCTGTGCCAGCCACTGAATAACAGACTCTAGGAGGAGATACCTCCAGCGTGCATGGCCAGTGAAAGCCATACAATCAAGGACTAATCTAAGGAATGTTCTGAAATCAAGCAAAGAGAAGCAGCTGTGTACCGTGGAGCTCAACAATCCAGAGTAGCAAATGCCTTGGTAGAAAGCCAGCCATTTAACCAGTCCTTTCACAGGTGAGGCAAGACAGAATGAAAAGAGGCTCTGCTTGTTTTCAGTTAGCTCTGCAACACCTACCGCCATCTTACTCAGGAGAAGGACTCCCTGTGTGTTCGTGGCAGTGAATCGAAAAAGATACTTTAGAGAATTTGCAAGTGGACAGTGAGGAAACATGCAAAACCTAGAGGAAGGAAGTCAGCACCCCTCCCCTACATTCAAAGGAGGAAAAGATGTCTCATAGCCCCCGGTAAGCCATTGAATGGGGTGGGAAAGGTATTCAAGCAATTGTTGTGATTAATACAGAGAAATCATCCGCATCTTCCTTCTGCTTGTCAGAGAGTTGCCTGACTCTTTTTTTTTTTTTTTTTTTCGTAAAAATCCTTCCCGATTTCAGTCCCTGCTGGATTTCTCTGTCTGATGCTTTTTGATCTATTCTCTGCTGCCACATCATGGGGGAAAGAGATTGTTTTTGTCTCTGTGTCCAAATTGTTTCCTAAATGCCAGGCATCTGTCCTGAAAAAGGTTTGGCTTTGTACATCTAAAAGCTTTACTTTTCCTGGCGGTGTGAATTGTTCTTCACAGGAATCACGAGTTAGGAACAGGGCTGTGTGGTTTCTGGTATTAGCACTGAATACTTCCCCCCCACCCCATACTGGCATTGCTTGATGGTCTGTCCTTAAGACTGTGTTTAAACATCAAACACCTTTTTTAATTTCAGATTTTGCATTATTCGTCCTTATATTCATCTTGCTTCTTTGTGATGCCACTGTGTCCTCTAATTCTTATTTTATCGGGTTTTTTCCTTCTTCATCCCAGTACACCGGTATCCAATTTGGATTGTTTTAATGTGTACCCCAATAACTTAGTGACTGAATTGGGTAAAATAATTACTCTTCCTTCCAAGTACCAATCTGTGGAAGGGTGAGAATCACCTTGCATTTCTGCCCACTTCTGAGCAAACCCAGCAAATATGATCCCATATGATCATAAGAAATTGAATGGACTCAGAATGTACATTTCCTAGAGAGGTTTAGTACAGAGCCACCAGAGTTTATAAATGAGCAATTAGGACTCTTCAGGGTCTAGAAAGATCACCAAACTATATTATGACAATTATAAAGTTTCTAATTGTGAACTCATTATATTAACATCCACATGTTAAAGGGTAAGGGTGAAGAAGAGGGAGGGGAGAGAGACAGAGGAAGAGAAAGAGACTATTTATTCGTGTGTAAATGTGCAGAATATACACAAGAGACTGGTGGAGCAGCTGTCTCTGGGGAAGGGCCTAAAGCAGCTGAGAGCCAGAGAGGAAAGATTTATGTTCGTTCTACACTTTCATACGTTTTGAATTTTGAACTATGCATGTATTTATTCTTTTAATCATAAACCTTTTTACAGTAAAAAAAATTAAGAAAAAATTAAAAGGATGAATACTTGTGAGGATAACACCATATAAGATCCTGTAACAAATGAAAAGAATATGGCATTGGTGCTACACAGATTTGATTTATTGATCTGCTACTTATTTGATCTGTAAGTTCGATGGTCTTGGATATTGTGCCTGTCCTCTCTCAGACTCAATTTTCTGAATGCAGATGATAGTATAAACTAAGTTTAATTGTAAAGATTAAATATGGCATATTAATATATGAACTGCTAGCAGA